ATCTGTACCAGCGCATTCAACGGGACATCCTCCAAAAGCGTAGGGAGTACCTGAGTTATAAAGTGCAAATACTGAACGCCTCTCAAACGCTCCGGTAAGACGTGAGGACCGATGATAAATTTATCCACAATGCCAACCCACACATTTACGGTGAATCGCTCTTGGTGAGCTACACTACGCGTAACATGTGGATTTTCCTCGGCACACAGAAGAAAATTATACAGATTAATTGTGGTAGTTCTTGTAAAACAAGCTTCACCTGCCAAAAGAACGTGTTTCAGAAATTCCTGGATTTTATTGCATTTGCGCAGGAAGTGCCTAGAGAATTCTAAACGTTATTGAAAGTCTGTACTGCGCAAATGCTAAGGTCGTAATCTCTCCTCATGAATTGTACGCCAGACGAGGGACTGTGATGCGTTGACCTCACGCGTGATTTGTCTTGTGCAAGCTTCCGGGGGTTCACGGACGATATTAATAATTGCGTTTTCCAGAGAAGTGGCGCGCCTTCTGTTACCCGTGGGCGACTACCTTTGAACACTTCTCAAAAATCAAATTTGTTAAATAATGAAGGAGGAGTCATTACAATTGGTTTTCTGTGTATGACCCTATTTCTCATCAAACGGCGAAATCACCCATCCCTATTTCTCTCAAACGGCGAAATGCCGCTGCAAACGCACGCGCGTCTAGTTATCTTATTGATGGGTAACAATGCTGGTATTCTTGACTAGCTGCACGGGCATTTCCATTGCAGAAACAATAGACAAAAAGTGTCAGCGAATTCGGCATTCATAAATGTCGCCATTTCGACAGACTAAGAAACACTGAGAACACAGCAACTAGACTACCGGAGAAATGGGGAGCCCTAACACGGGGTGAAGCCCATGGTCACTTGCTGTAGCCCGTGTTATACGAGCACAAGCGCATTGTCCATAGTTTAACGTTAATTATTTAAGAAACTAAACGGCGAAGAGTATCCGATTTTGGCAAATTCAGTACGTGCATTACATATAGAATAAGATTCTGGCGTATTAGCAACGACGACTGAATCAACCTGTATGAAGTGAACCTCTGTAAAATTTTGTCTTGTCTCGTAACGTCGCAGTCGGTAATTGCTTTTTATCCCTTCGGCCAGGGGCTCGGCCGAAGTAACTTAGTAACTGGAATTCCCAGATGGTCATTCTTCAAGGAATACGTGGTTTCTCGATTAGCGTAACTTCAGTGACTTAACAGAGCGTAGTTAAGCAATTCGGCTAACGATGCAGACTTCAGGGCTTCTCGGGTGTTGACAGCGTCAGTGGCCCAAACATCAAATTAGGCGCCCTTCGATCAGATAATATCTCGTCAAGGTAAATGCATGAAGGCCGACCTTTCCATCCAGTGCCGATCGTAGAGTAGAGTTTCACGCTACAGCCTAACCCCTTCTCAGCTGTACTGCTATCACGACGAAAAACCGCATGTCAAGGGAAAGATAACTTAAGTGACCTGCAAATACATTATATTAAGAGTGTGTCTCACCATAGCCCTTCTGCCTAGTGCGTTATAATAAAAGTAATTCTGTTTATATATATTATTATAGGATATTAAACATGGATTTGTTTCCATATTGGACAAATTCCGTTTTACGCGCATCATAAAATGCCAGTTAATTTCACGGACAAATTTTCCGAATAAGGCGAGTTTCCAAATTGTATAAGAGTCCAGCTTGAACAGATTTTACTGTAGTAAGAATTTATACAATTCGTATCGCAAAGCAGATGAGAATATGTATGCGTGTGTATTCGGATCAAACTGATGTAAACGAAAAGACCACAAATACAGATTAACCTGCGTTGTTTACTTAAATCACGCTTTTAATTAAACTCTCAATAGACTGATTCACAGAAATCACACTTTAGTCACAGAATTATGCGTGTAAGTAATACTTAGTTCAAAGAAAGTGTTAATGTGCATTTTTCTTGCATTCTAGCTGCGTAAATACGAATACATCCTGCAGACATTCTCTAGTTGGGATAAGTATAATAGGTAGTGAAACTGCCGAAACTCTAGTTAGCCAACGTTTATAAAACTGTCTATAATTTATACTAGTTTCTCACGGACCACAGCCCCAATTTTGTTTATCAATGAGTGTCAAAAACAATAAAAAAGAGAAACAAAAAAAACAGAAAAATTACAAAAGAAAACAATTTCTTCTAAACCGACAATAACCTCCAAGGAAGTGAACTGCACGCCGTATTAGGGCTTTATAAGCTGGTGCTCCAGCTCAACTAGTTGGTGAAAGGATACATTTTGCGGTGCGATAGTTTTCGGTCGTAGCTTAAATAAAGACGTAGTAGAAGTAGTAGCGACTTCCCAACAAGCTTCGTGGAACCGGAGCTCCGAGGTTTAGCCGCGGCGGCTGTGGCTTGTCTTTTACAATGCCTGCTTAATAACTGGATGGAAACTGCGTCCGTGTGTATGAGGATTCTAATATTAGAGGTTGGCTGCTATCATGGGTCTTTTTCCATGGTGTTCTTCGGCCAGTTTCAGACGGATGCCGGAGCAGTGTCTTTAAGCAAACGGGTCACACACGTTCCTACATTATTTTTTTCCCTTTTCGAAGTTTTTTACATAAAAGCTTCAACGGGTGTTGGAAACCCGTCCAGCTGCATATCTTCTTGGCAATTCCCTCGTCGTGTGTGTAGTGAGAAGACGTGATGGCTTCAAACTCCAGGTCCGCAAAGACTCGATTGAGATTGACGATTCTGGACGCGTCAGCTGCTAAAGTCATTAGCCCCGTAAGTGTAGTTCATCTTTTTATCGCGCGAGGTGGTGGTGATGTTTTTCCGCTGGATGGCGAGATCCTAGATCCCATCACCAGGCCGCCGCACCACCCGGAACAATCTCTAAGCTACCAACGTTCGTGGTAGTGCGGTGCATGTAAGTGTAAGTGTGTGTAAGAGAGAGGTGAGGATAGGACAAGGAAGAGAAAGGAAAGAGCGCGCGTCGTGTGTAGTCCGTTTGTAAGGGTACTGGTCCGGCAAATCAGAGCTGCCCGCCACTAGACTTCTCTTTTAGACAGTGGCTGGATTAGACCTAGTTATGTAGCTAGGATCGAAAATCCTACCTCAGTCGGGGCTCAAACCCGAGGACCTCCCGGTCAGAGGCCACTTAAGCCGGTAGTCTAGGTTGACCTCGTCGGGGCAGTAAGTGATCTTGATCTCAAGGGAAATTTAGAAGGTATTCTTTCTAACTGTGGAAGCGTTGGCAAATCTTTACTTTGGACCAACCTTGCAGTTAGTAACTCGTGGGTGGTGGGGCGTCCCAGGTTTGGTGAAGGCTAAACGTGGTCGAAGTTTAGCTTATCTAGCTGCCAGTTTGAACCGTCAGGATATAACCGATCTCACGTTCATACGAAGGTTAAGAGAAACAAAGTAGCTAAATCTACTTTTTATAAAATATCAAGAGAGCATTTTAAAGCTGGACTGATCTTAATTCCACTTGGGGCTAGTTTCCTTTTCCTTAATTTTCATACTATTGAAGCACTTTCCAATATATGATAAGCGCAGTGCGAAGCATGTGTTTCTGCATTTCGTAGAAAATTAGAGGAGCGAGCTGCGAAGGAACTGGACTGCAGATAATGTGGTAGCTTGCTCCGACACTTACCTTGACACCTCAGTGTCAGATTTATGTTCGAAGAATCACAGTCTCTTTATAACGAGAAATGGATTTATAATACTGTAGTAGGAGCTATCATGGAGGGAGGTTTAAATAACAATATGAAATATTTAACTTGAATGCAATTAAAGTGGATTAATCATTTACAAAATTGTAATTGTCTTGTGATTCAGTAGAATATTACTTATTCTTGGAAGGAAAGGGACACTACACTTTGAATAAGCTGAATTATAATTGCAGTAATAATTATTCTTAATATAAAAATAAAACAACCATTAAATTATTTAGTATGTAAACAGTCATAACTATTTGCATATACTTGTGCATAAGCCTAGCACTTATTACAAGTGACAACAAGTAATGAATATTGAGCATTTGAATCGGCTAATCCATGATGTAGCAATGATTGTAATTGACAATGAAAGGTGCACAAAAAATTATATTTAAATCAGCTGAATGCCATTAATAGCAATGTGTTTAAAATTAGACACAGGCTGGAGCCAGATAAAATACCATTATATATTTTAGTATGCTGAATGCATAGTTGAGTTCAACTGAGGGTTTGCCATTGCGTGGTACTAAAAACACAAAGAAAATACAACAATGTATGATTCCAAGATGTGACAACGAACTGGATGAATGCTTTATGTGGACGCCCGGCATTCAAGGCGGGCAGTGGATAGTCCGGTGGTGGTTTGATCCACGATCCATCTGGGCGCTTCATGTGCCTACGATCGGATGAGAAGTGCTGCAGATAAACTGATGCAGGGAATACTCGGAAATATCTGCAAATTATTAACAAATCAAATCTCACTGTGTGAACGGTGTCATAGGAATCATCAGTGGACCACCATCATCGACAGTGGCAGGCACCCTTGTCATCGCTGTCATCATCACAATTTCAATCTATTTCTATCAAGGTATATTCTGATCATTATATACAAATCAATACTTTATTGGTAATTTTTTGGTACAATGTACTTATGAATGTTTCCAGACTCTTAAAATTATTGTCCCCCAAACTGGCATTTTGGACTATTCACTTGCAGAACGGCGGTATTGTTTTATCACTCAGAACCATTAGCTGAAGGTTGTCAGGCACAGAGCACATCATCGGTATTACATCGGGTTGATTCTCTGGAGACGTCAGTTAATTTATTGCGAATCAACGCAGAATTTAGTTGCCATTTGCTTGTTGGCAACACTGCACTATGCACTTACGTAAGCTGGCATCTAGACATTGTGAACAAATTACACATTTTTTAAACGATATTACGAATTAATTCCAATGTCACATATATTAAGTTCTTTCAGTAATCACAAACGATATCCAGTTTTCAGGCCACATGCAGGTTACCGAGAAGTGAGCAGTTCAGTGCGGAAAGTTACATATTGCGTAATACTGTTTTATGACGATTATCCATTTAAACACCTCAGGGTAGTTCATGGCAGAGAGTAACATATTAATGCGATTAGTGTCGTAGACACGCACATAATGAAAGTATTGTGAATTTGCACAATTAGTGAGCAAGAATAGGTACACATGGGCCCATCTCTTCCAAAAGCCAACGCTCAACTGAAGCCAACGATGTGGGCCGTTAGCGGCTTGGAAAGGAGAAAATTATTAGCGTTTTTTTCCGTCTAAGCCAATGAGAAAGCAGTTTAACCATTGTCAATTTAGAAATATTGTTAATTATATTATTTACAATTAAAGAAAGTATGTGAGAGCAAGGCTATTTTAATTAAGAATTACTGAGAGAATATTAAATTATATTAGAGGAATTAGTTGCGTTACAATTTCGTGGGGAAAGTGGCGTGATTATTGCGTAACACCGTGAGAAGCGATGTGGCCAAATAGGAATAGAATAAAGTATTGGCTGAAATACAAGAACTTCCATTGACTATTGTTGATTTTTTTTTTTAGAGTGAGCTATCCCCGACAAATCTTAAAACGTGATACTATTTTCTGACAATTGACTTGCCTCTTTATTTCTCTCGTCTTTCTTGTAGCGCAATGCTCCATGGTATAGCAGTTAAAAGGGGGAGCTACAAGTGAATTTCTGACAGTTTTGTGTATTGGTAAGATGTTTAGTGTAGCATGTAAATAGCCAAAATACAAGGCAGTAGTGAGCGGTTTTCTGAAAATGCAAACATTTTTAACTTGTAGCGCGCCTCGTGTAGCTGAAGTTCTCGACCAGATCATCGGTACAGCGATTGAAGCGTTTGACTCGCGAAACGTCTTGCGTTCAATTCCCTACTATAGATATCATAAAAAAACATTTGTTGCATGTCTACAATGCATGCATTTAATATAATTCCCCTCCGCCATTTTTGGCCTTCTTGTTTGTTTGAATGATAATTGGTATTGGTAACTTTTCTTGAACGATGACCTTGCTTCATCCTCTTTGTCACAATAAACAGTTGAAGACAAAAGCTCGCAGCAAGCACTGATGACAAAATTCCAAACACATCTTCACTGGCGCGAAATAGAAACTATTTTCTGTTGAAGACGAAAACTTCTGTATGTGATTTTCTCCAAAAGATCTAAAGAAATTACCGTAGCAGGTGAAGATCAATCACAGGAGATGCCTCGAACTCCTGAGAAAGTTGGAACGCAAATTACTGAGAAAGTTGTGAAGGCATAACTGATTCTCCATAGATTGGCATTGCTTCATAAAATATAGTGGCCGATTTCCGAACTACGAGTAATACCCCCACTCTACCCACATTTCTTCAATCCATCGTTCAAGAAAAGTTGCGCGAGTAAATACTCTTATCGTATACAAGGGAAAGGTTAAAAAAGCTCTTTAAACCATATATGAATTTTCGGTAATCATGTAATATATGCATTTTACTATGTTAATGAGGCACTTTCCTCGCTTTTCCGCAAAATTTTCAATCATATCGTCAAAACTTACTTCTCTAGGAATATTCTGCTTAAAATGGCGAGAACGAAAAAACTATCTTTGATCAATGCAATTGGTCTTGCCAAGAAGCCAAAGCTTGTAGAGACCAATTATATGCTGAAAATTTTCGTTCTAAAAATAGATTAATATTATTGATTGTATTTGAAATGTTTGTATAATTTTTATTCTTACTTTCATTGTATGATGCAAAACTCAATCTATTTTTTTTCTTTTGTACAGTGAAGAAAACGTATGGAAACTGTGTTCAGAAGTTCGCGACCGACAGCCCGCAGAATTACCCAGCTGCTACGTTGTATTCGTGTCAAACGATAAACGTACCGTACCTCTATGGCGTCAACGTGCAGGAAAGGAAGAGGAGAAACTTGTAATCTGGGTTAGTGTCTTTGACGGTGATTGCGTTTGTTAATGTTTGTTTGCTTGTAATGTGTTCACGAAAATTTCACATTTCTCATTATCTGCTCCAGTGTTTCTTTTCAAGAATATTCGATAGCTATTCTTTATTAAACTGTTGTTCACATTTTGGTGTTTATGTGCAGGACAGTGAGAAGATACTACAAAAGTAATCATTCTTTGTAATATTTTTATTTGTTTTAAATTTTCTTTTTAATAGTTTTTCATTACATGAAAAAGAATCACTGTTCATCTTGTTTTATTAGTGCAAAAAAACTTAATTCTGTTCCGTTTTATATTTACTGTCATTGAAGGGCAATTTGTTACGAAGCATGTTATTTTCAATGAGCCAATTATTCAATCATCATCAATAAATTTGTAGGGCTCTCTAACTTGGTGAGCCACTGAATAACTATGATTCTAGAGAAAAAGATATTGTTTGCTGAATTCCTCTTAAAATTGTGTGCTAAATGCGTTTGCTTTACCTTGTATACTTGTAATATGAATGGACTCTGGAAATGTTTTTTATTAATCTTATGAACGTGGGTAAATGACCTAAATGTATGCTACTTTTGTTTGAGGGGTGGGGTGTTTCTAAGTCTTGTTACTCGGTTCTCAAGCAGCAGCTTGAAACTAGTCAAATACCATTGGAGTTTTTTTGTAAAGTTGCATAGTCGCCAGCGAAGTGCCGTGGATGCGCGCCTTGGGTAGGGCACCCCCTTCCCAGGCCAGTGCCCTGTGTTTCACCTCAAAATGGCGACTAGTATTCAGAAGACGTCCTGCGTTCACCAGTCAACAAATTCTGTTGTCCATGTACATCGGCCTTTCCGAAGAAAATTTTACTACAATGTGACTTTTCAAAATAAAATTAGACCGCATTTTCGTCAGTTTCACTGCAGTTCATGTCAATGCAAAGAAAATTTTCTGTATGGCCGCGTGTTACCCAGGAAAAGGAAAGAATTTCGCAGGCGTTTCAGAATAATCCTCGAAAATTCGAGGTAGTCGTGTAGATTCTGTTGCCTCAGTTTATTATCTGGCGTTTTATACAAAAACGTTCGCGTACGAAGCTGTGCAGACTGCTTGCAGCAGGGGATTTACTTTGGAGGCCCCTGAGCAAAAATTTGCTGTGGGAGGGGGGGGGGGCTGTCGGTTGAATCTCAGGAAAAATATTAAAAAAAACTTTAAAAGTGTTCGGTAATCATTATTGCTGCCTAAACTGGCGAGATCGAGAAAACGATCTTTTAGTGCAATTAGTTATCCAATAAGCCAAAACGTGTAAAGACAAATTCATATGCTGAAACCCGTTGATCCAACAATGTTATGAAATGACGGGGAGGTAATGTTCGATGTAAAATGTTAGAAATGGCCATAGGCCAACGTCTGGTGAATTTTCGTAGCCCAATGGGATAAAGCGACGATTTCGATGACGTCTCCTGGAGATCGCATACTCTGAAGTCCTCTTTTTCCTTTTCTGACTGTAGCACGAGAAATTGTCACGCGTCGATGAAATCTGTTATTGACTTCAGAGCTGGAACACCGATATTCAAATCAAGCTTGGAATTCTGAAGTTTATTTTTTGGCCTTTACTCAACTAAGTATGTCGTTCCAAAATACTGCGTAGATGTCAATTTCTAAGTCGCACATTTGTTCATGCAAAACACGGCATTTGACTAGACTATTGGAATGTTGTGTAACTTCTTGTCAAAGAGAAGGGAAAATGATATTTTAGTATGCATCAGCCATATGATGCAGCGAATACACAGCTGTTCGTATAAACAGTGGTCATGGGATCTGACATAAGCCGATACGCTATTTGGATTAACTATTTTAGGTGTACATCTCAAAATTAAATTATTAGTTTGATTTAAAAAAAATTAAAATAAAAATTAATCCAAAAGTAAAACTGTTCCGAAAATCGCATATTTTAATAGCGTACTTTCCTTGAATATTTAATTTTAAAATTCATAGTACGCCTAAACACGCTGTTTTTTTACAGCCCATCCCTCTTACCAGATCCCAATATTGAAAATGTAACAATGCTGTACAGGAAAGGTCTCGCGCAAAAGTACGCGAAACACTGTACAGACTTGTTTGAACAGTGTTTGGAGATTGTTTTGAAAATGTACGCATTGAATCTGTATTAAAATATTGCTTACTTTTATTTCTAAATAAAATAAAGCAAACAAATGACGCTGTTACGAGAGTTACGCTGTTACAGTTCCGAGTCGATGTCATACAAAAAACAGACCTTTGGAAGTTAAATATGATAAACATAAAATTAAATCAAAAGTACAGTAGAACCCTGGTATTCCGAAATTGGTCTGTTCGAATTCGGAAATGTTGGGATTATCCGAAAAATGTACAGTACACCTACAAATATATCTACAGGATTACCAGACATAATGCATTGTAGCGTGGGATGTGAGAAAATGGTAAAGAAGCGTAGCGACATGAAGTGGCAATGTTGCGAACAACGGTGTCCAGTACGTACATAACCGATCGCCTGCTGTACATTGCTACATTGTGTAGAGGAGTTGAAGCAAATTGTGTCACTCCTGTGTTCATGGTGGGTTGACTTACATGTGCCAGGTGCGGATTCTGAGACGAATTTTGGTACGTGAAATTTTTTTTTAATGAACGTGTTTTGGTCGAATTTGTCATATTACAGATTACGTAGAATGACGCAGCTAAACTCATTTTGTTATATAATTGTATTCGTTTTAATGTTTATACGGAAATATTTTTGCTTGTAATTTTCGGGACAATTAATAGTTATTGAAAAATTCTGGGAGGAGAAATTTCCCTCATTTCCCTCCCCGTGGATGCGCGCCTGCACGTGTTAATGGTTGTACGTTCAAAATTTAAATTAATACTAATCGGGTGTTTTTGTTTATTTTTTCCTCGATCTCGAATTTTGTTCGAATTATCCCAAATTCCGCGTTTGCGGGATTCGGTATTGCGAGATCCTACTATATAAAATATAACAATTTTGTAATGTACAAAATGCATTTATAATACGTGAAAATGTATTCAGATAAGAAAAAAATATCTTAATTTACTTTACATCACATCGTACGACTTTTGTTAAAATCACAATTTATCCCCCCCCCCCCTCTCTTGTATTTGTCGGGAGCCCCTGGGCTGCCGCCCACATTGCTGGCCCTTAAATCCAACACTGGACTGCTGGCACATCGACCTGATGGCAAATCAAAGTGGACAGAATTCCACGAAGCGAATCTGGTCATGCTGATGATTGTGGGGCACTATCCAAAACTTAGAAACTCGCTCTTTTGGATTAATGACTAGTTTTTAGAAGTTGCTTGAAAACTGAAAAATAGGGCTTGGAAATCAGTTCATTATCTTTTAAATAACCTTTTATTTCATAATACTATAAAGTGTTTTTTTTAATAGGCTGTGTGCGATACACGGTTTCTTGATCTTGTTTTCAGAGTGTGAATCAGCTTAGTTTTGCTTACTAATAAGAGTACAAAACGTATGTGAAACATCTATATGTATGTTCTTGAGACTTAAGCATTCCTAGTGAAATGTTTGCTTCATTTTCTAAATATTTTAATACCATTATTTCTGGATTTAATTAATTAAATTATTTTAATACCGTCATTTATAGATTTGCAGGATGAGAAATGTTGTTTGTTAGTGACCTAAGAGACTTCATTAAAATTGTCAACTATTTTAATGTCTGGTCATAAGTAGGGCAGTGAAAAAGTATCTTACTTAACAAAGAGGGGAAAATCCTTGCACGTTATATGCTGAACACTTTATTTGGTGTGTCAGTATTTGATATCTGTTCGTTTCCTTAAAAGAAAAAGTATTACTTGTTTATGACAATTCCTTGATTTTAGAATACAGTCTTACCATAACAGAAAAATCCCTAGTTTTCCATGAATCAGGACTAATCTAACAGTGATTTTACTGAGCTACATGTGATAAGTGCATACGATTCAGGACACTGTGTGTGTTCTCTTTATTTACATGACTAGATTTAAATTCAAATACTTCACTCTGATCATGAATGAATCAAATATGAATTTACTCTAGTTGTTTTACTTAAAATAATGCACAGAAAATCAGAATATTTAGGATGACTCTTTGACAATGTTCTTTCACACTGATTTGTACAAATTTATTTTCTCTTACCAGCAAGTTGCTTATGTGGATAAATCTCTGTGCTCATAATCAGAGAAATACGAATGTATTAGTGGGCTTTATACAGACTGTGAAAAAAGATATTTCATTGCACATTTTTTGAAATTAATATGCTTCATCCAAATCCTTGTTTAGAATCATCTCACCCCAAATCCTATTTTTATTGCCATAATTTGTCTAAAAGTAACAACTAAAACATGAAAAACAATACTGCAGAGCATTGTGACCTTCATCTGACTGTTTTTCAATATTTTGTAATTGTGTATGAAATTGTCAATTCAACATGTGTGGTATTGTGGACTTATTAAAAAAAGTGTATACTTGCAAACAAGTCACATTGTTGAGTTCAGGTTTTATCTAAGTGTTAAAATTTGTAGGAATTTCTACCAGTATATAGCCCTACATTAAACGCCTTAGAGTTAATATAAATATTTGCTATATCGTACTTTACTGCATTCTAGTTCAAATATTATTGTCTTGGAATAATTGTATGTAAAGGTTGATCTCCTGAGGATTTTTTAAATATTTGGATATTTACTATAAAACAGCTTGGTGATACTAAATGCAGAGGACGAGATATACCTATATGGGAGCATAGTGGTGATTTGAAATTTTGAGCTAAATTGTTCATTTAGGTCAAATCCCACTCTTCAAAATGCTCTTTCTTAGTGGTCCATTAAAAATTGATGATGCCATCTGCCCTTCACTATGAAACGATTTCTGTAACAAATAGCTCATATTTTCTGAATTGGTTACATAAGTTCGATGTTTGTAAGACAATGGCATTATTTTAAAATTAGTTTGTTCATTGTACTGAATTGCTCATCAGGTATATAATGAACAACCAGTTATCTCACAGTCAGTATTGGATGTAAAAACAGGGGAATATTCACAAAGAAATTATTCTTCAATTCAAAACTAATGTATTATTGATATTGTTGACAGGATTACCATGTTCTCTTTCTTTATGCCCCGGATGATCGTTGCCTCGTCTACGATCTTGATTCGGAGTTGCCATTCCCTACACATTTCCACAAGTACGTGACAGAAACCTTCCGTACTGACCACATTTTGAAATCAGACTACTTCAGGTATGTGATCATGCTAGTTCTTTTAAACCTTTGTCTAAGAAATATATTTATTTATGCAAAATTTGTGTACCTCTTTTGTGTCTCCTTTTTGTTTGTGAATAAATTCATCAGTTTTAGAATGTTAGTGCTCCAACCAAAAAGTTATGCTCTTTAAGTATAAGTAATGTGCGTATTTGTTTCATTTGTGTAATTAATAAAGTGAGTCATAATTGCAACACAACTTTCTTGCATTGCAAAATAAATTCAAAAGAATGATCCACGTGTACTGGAGACCTGGCGTATGACTCTACCTTGGTGCTGCATTGTTAAAGAATAGCTGATTACAAACCAGACTGCCACTGGATGCCAGCAGGGCATTGAGAGGTGTATAGCTTCATGTCTCAAAGATCTAGGGAGGGGGTCTGGGTTGCAAATGGTGCAGAGACCTTCGGTTCACATTTGTGCATGTGGCATGTTATTATGTAGGCTGATGACAAGATTCCAGAGAGGGCAGGGGTGAGCAGATTTTCTGAGAAAGCTGTGAATTGCTTAGTAATTTTTTAAACAAATTTTTTTTAGTGTCAATTTCAGTTTAAACAGAAAATGTTAAGTTTTCAGTAGCTGTGTAACCATTATTTATCTTTCTTTCAAAATTGTAAGGAAAGGATACACTTTGTTATTTGTGATAGGGTGAGCTCCATTTGTCCCATTAAATAAGTTCTTGGATGCTTTCAATTGTACTTGGCAGAGAGGATAGCAGCTGGGTATGCATGCTTCATGGATGGCTGTGTTGGTTGACAGAGACAACTGGAGCCACCCGCTACATTTTTGTGTGAACCACTTTGGTGTAATAGTGTGTAATTTAGTGAACCATCAACTTTTGATGTCGCTAGCCGCCACTGAAATTGACATGAAAAAGCAAAGTGAAATTCACTCTATCCCCAGCCCCAACTCCTGCACCCTCCACTTCAGTTTCATTCTTGGATCCTGCGACTCCCACTATGGTGGCTCAACAGCAAACCATCCACTCTTACAAACCCCACTCTCAAAACCCACATTCTGCAACCTTCAGATCACTCCTAATTTTATCCAGAAGCTGGACCTGTAGCAGTCAACTACTTCTAGATCAGTAACCTCAGAAAAAAACAGTATCTTTTAAGGTACTACACCAGAGTATATAGTCCTTAAAAAGTAAAATAGAATATGAAATTGAAATTGTTAGAATGGTGCTTACATTACACTTCTGTCTTTTGTGTATTTGAATACTGGCCTATGTAAGTTCAAATAAAAAGGACACAAATTCCAGACTTCTACCTAGTAGGTTACTTCTATCAAAGGCCAAACTCTCTTACATCTTGGCTATGGAGGCACATGCCTCCTTGGCCAATAACAATTACTCAGTCTTTGGAGGAACAGAATTAAAATGTTTAACATAGAACTCAGACATTTTATCCTAATCTTGATGAAAATCTTCAAATATTTAAAAAAATCTCGGAAATAATTTCATGTAAATTACCAAAGTGTGTGTATTACTCTGTCATAATCTGTGTGATATAGACATTAACTGCCTATCAACAGCTCAAATCGCTCGTAAAAATGAAGAAAATTAACGTCAACTTCATACACTCCTATAACCTTGCTGTAATAAGATACCCAACTAGGCAATGCAAGAACATCTAAAAAACAATTCACCAAATCCTCTCAAACAAAATAGAACACATACAATCACCACCTGTGATACGGGGCCTAGTGATTACAATGCACAAACAGTTATCTCTAAAAACAAAATCCACTTCACTAAAATAAATTAATACTCGTATATGAGACTAATAGGAAATACAACCTAAAGAACTTATTTCTCTGTTAACTAAATAAGCATGGACATGAAATTTTTTACACTAACCTATTGTTTAACTTTTTCTTTAATTCAATTACACACAATTTCAGCACCTCACATCCCCAAAACAAACTAGCTGGTAAACTGCAACAATGACAATGGTGACAAAAATGAAAACTTCAACAAATCCAAACTACACCATATTCTTCTTTCACTACAGCGTTACCATCTCTCTCAAAATTGCCCCCTCTAATATGTATATCAGAACTATAGGAAAGGAAATTTTAAATAAAATGGAATACAAACTATCGGGTGGAAATGATAACATTCCAGACTTTGTTATAAAAAGGATTTGCCCGTATGTTATCAAAACCATTTTCAATCTTATACATTAATTCACTAACATATGGCTGCTCCCCAAACATCAAATGTATTCAAAACTGCAGTCCTTAAATATATTGACAGAAAAACCAGCGTACAAGATGTCAAGAATTACAGACCAACATTTAGCACACTGTTCTCCATTCTCATTTAAATGAAAAAAGTTAATATTATTTTGAGGGTAATTTTTAAAATGCAATTTAAACTATTAATGTTAAGTCTTTATTCTGTTATTTCAAAACCAGTGTATTCATTTTGGACATTCTTGCTTGTAGTTAGGGAACTAGTGTTCAGACGACCATTTTGGGAAAACGTGGTCAAAGGGACCAGTCTTAGTGGGACCGCAAAATAGACATCAGTTTTGGTGGGAGAAACGGGCGTTGGTATCATAAAATTAAGTAAAAAAATTTAAAAGATCTTGAATTTTGAAAAACAGGGAAAAGACCTGGAATTCCAAAATGCCAGTTTAAGGGACAATAATTTTAAGAGTCTGGAAACATTCATAAGTACATTGTACCAAAAAATTACCAATAAAGTATTGATTTGTATATAATGATCAGAATATACCTTGATAGAAATAGATTGAAATTGTGATGATGACAGCGATGACAAGGGTGCCTGCCACTGTCGATGATGGTGGTCCACTGATGATTCCTATGACACCGTTCACACAGTGAGATTTGATTTGTTAATAATTTGCAGATATTTCCGAGTATTCCCTGCATCAGTTTATCTGCAGCACTTCTCATCCGATCGTAGGCACATGAAGCGCCCAGATGGATCGTGGATCAAACCACCACCGGACTATCCACCAATTACCACTTCTGGTAAGACTAACATATTCCATTTAATAATATTGGTATTTTAGTTTATTAAAATATTGAAAATAATAAAAATAAGATTTTCAAAAATATGTCAAATATGCAGTAGTTCACTCATATTTTCCAAAGAATTTTTATCATGTTAATGTTCATGTGGATATCCTGAGGCATTCAAAAGTTGACAGTAATACATCTTGCAAAGAAAAATTTAATTCAGTATTGTGTAATTTTATTCAGTAATCATGGATCAGAAGAATCTCCAGTAAATTAATTATGCCTTGTCACAAATTCATTATTTTTATCAATTTCTCGGAATACCTCTTGTGACTAATATCATGTCATCAACATGTTTTCCTTTAAATTACAATGCCCCAAGAAAGGAAGAACAAGACATGGTTATAACAATATCTGTAAAGTAGGGAAAGTAAATCACGCTACTTGATGAGCTGGAGATCCACAATGAAAATAGAACTCTTTAATTATTCTTGTGTTGAACTTGGGGGAGAATAAATGTGAATCTTCCAATAAGTGTGATTACAACTTTATAACAAATCTGGTGAAGTTGATTAAAATAGATGCAATGAATAAGACTGTAAGTTTCATTCTGGTCCATCTCACTAGGTTGTCATCTGAGTAATGGGATTTTGCTCTTAAAACAATGAAAGGGCCAAGAAAATGTATTGCTCTGAAATGTGAAGAGGTGGTCAAGAATCCCAAGATTTCATTGTTGGTTTTCAGAAGAATGGAGCACAAATCTGAGGATCTGATCAATTTAAATGAAGTTTTAAGTGATGTGAGGTCTTAAAGAAGTTTGTTTCTGAAACTAACCTGAGTTACTAGAGTTCAAGGATCTGAATGTGGAGTTTGTTAATTGTGAGCATGATTCAAAGAAATTACATCAAGGATACTTGCTATTAGTGTTTTGTTGAAGATAAACTAAGCTTTCATTCTATCTGCAATAACAGAGATACCTCTAGCATCACTTGGTTGGGAAGTACAAAAAAATTCTCAAAATGCTCTTCTGGATTCCAAAGAAAAGGCAAGAGACATATCACAGAATTTCTCCAGAATTCTTCTCAAGTTCTCTTTATTTTGAGGGATAAGGGAAGGTACAAGGTAATACTCATATTGGCCGAACTGATATATTTTGTCAGTGTGAATATTTAATATTTGTTATAACAAAATGTAAAGCTAAAGAGAGAGAAGATAAGAAAAGTTTGATAGTGCCAAGTTGATAAACAACATTGCAATATTATTTACTCTTGGAAATTAGGACAACAGCAAACAGTCTAGCAAGCTATGTGTTTATTACCAAAGTGTTTGAGGATCAAGGACGAAGTTATCTTCTCCAGAACCATACTGTGTTTCTAGTACCGTGCTGCCTTTTAAAGATAGATTTTCATTGGAAACACTTACTTGCCTACATAATGGGACTTTATTTAAAATGGAGTAAGAGTTAAATTTCCCAAATTATAACATCGGAGATAATACAGGTACTGAAGAGAGTGGATTTCAGAGAAGAGATAAAATAATGATTGTGCTCCTCAAAAATTTAATAGTATGATAATCAATACTAAAACACCACCACAGAACAGATCTTTGTTCACATTACATTTGGTAGTTCTAGTTTCATTATTGCTGCCAATTACATTCTTCCAAAATGTAATACAGGAGCATATGCATGTTCTATTTGGTGAAACTTTAGAAAATACATTTGAAAGAATTCATCAGTAAATAAATATTATTTTATCAAATTATTGATAAATGGTAGAATTGAAATAAGGAACAGGCTAAGTGCTAAAAACAAAAAACTAGTTAAAGGTTAATTTATTGTCTTTGGCTCATCGCTTATGTAATTGGCTTAGTTGTGCGAACTGTGCAAGTATTTGAATATCTCACTTCAAGATGGGCAAGGCAAATGCCGGATGTTTCCTAAAAGTGCTATTGCATGCACAAAAGATGCTGTTCTGTTAATGAGAGTAGCCGAGAGTTTCAGAACATTAAAACTGTAATATTCTAAGTAGTGTCATTGAAAAGAGTCATTCAAAAATTACTGTTACCATTATTCACATTAAGTGATAGTTAAGTACTACATGTGAAAGCTCCCTTGGTGTAATATAGATGTACACATTGCAGATAGGAAATAAAGGGCATATGATTTTGTGGCATGAAGGAATATGTATTTGAGAAGGTTCTGTGATAGTTTTCTGTATGTACAAAATATATTTTTGGTATGACTGGAAAGAAAGTATTAAACGTATGGAGCAATAATTGTGCAGCACAAACTGAGAGCAAAATGATTTCATTTGTAAGAATAGTATATTTAATGAAATTAATCACAAATACTGAGTAAAAGGACATTCGTACATGACTTGTTTTAAGTTTGGGCCGACATTTGTGTGACGAAAAAAGTATTTCCAGACATTTATTTCTCAACTGAAATGTGAAAGTGAACTTTCGAAAGAAAAGGTAAAGGTCATGAAAAGTATTTTGGTGTTCTTCAGGTTTGAAGATGGGAAAATTCCATGCACACTTGTTTACACAAGAGTGATACTTAACATCTGTAACTTTCTAAGGATTCAAATCATTTGTGTTTGCACGTTTGTTGCGAAGAACCTTTAGTGCTCATGACATTATTTTCATTTTTGTTTCTCTATTCGTGTAGAAGAGGAGGCACTTGCATCTTATTAATTTTTATCATTTTCACATTTGAATTCCCAGATATGCACTTTATATTGGTTGTGAACTATAAATATTGTTTATCAGTCAATTGTTAACTTTTTTTGTCTCTGTAATGATAACATACAACAAATTAGTTTTGCCTTTCTGAAAAAGTTAATTTTGGGACTTAACTTATGATTTATTGATTTTAGGATTATTCATTGATTCACGTACGATCTAGGATTTAAAAATTAGCTAATTCCAGCTATTCCTGTACAGAATTTAAAATAATTGACAAATTATTAAATGCAAAATCAAATGTGCATTAATATACAAACCTATTTACAAACTTGGGTTGTAAAGTAGCGATTAGAGTTATTTATTGATCTTTGCAAATTGACTAAAGCAAAAGAATGACTATATAAACTACGTTGAAAGAATAGAATTGTTGGCTTTAAATGGTGTAGAAGCACATTGGAAATATACAAATACTAATAGATTCCGGAGGTTTACTTAGAACTGTTATCTATAAAAATAAAATTGATTCTTTGATAGATAAATGTTTTACTGAAAACAGTGGTGTTAGTTTTGTATCAAAAACGTTTTAGTTTTTTAACACTAGAATGATGTAATGTAAAAAGTAAAATATAAGTTTAAAAAATGAAACAAGAATTCCTCTTTGCAAAAAAAAAAAAATTGTGGAATTGTAGTTGTTTGAAAACCTATTTTTATTAAAAAAATCGTAAATGGAAAAGAAAGATTGTACTCTTTTTGAATTATAAGATCAAGACAAGTATTAATTTTTGTAGTATTATGCTGTGTTGTTTTAAAATAAGTGCGGTGTTAATTCGGCAATGAAGTTAAGGGATTCTAGTGTTAACTGTGTCTTAGAATTATTGTGTGATATTTCTTGTTTATAGCCAGTCCACATAATTTGGAAGAGTTTATAAACATGGATCCCACTAAAGGACATGGAGAGGTCATGAACCTGACGCAACTGGTCCGTAAGTTTTATCCTCAGGCCTAAGGGTCTTATCCTGGATTCAGCTATGCGCAGGAGATGGCTCCATGCAAGATATCACCACCGTTATGAGCTTATGAGGCTGTTTTTCATCAGTGAACCTTCTTTCCCTTGTGAAGTATTGCAGAGAGCATTCAGCTATTCTCAGCAACATTATAGTTTATCAAGTTTATTCGCAATTGCAATGTTATTATCTCTGCTTTTGAAATATTTCAGTATTTCATTATGGAAACGGAATTTGATTTGCATTCAGTCTCCAAAAGCAAGCTTTCCTGCGTGAGCTGTTTCATTTTCACCACATCGAATGAAGATAATTCCCCTATATACGTCATACTGTTTATCAAGTTAGTCCCTCATATAATTGTCATCGATTTACTATTCTCTTAAAAGTTTCTTAATCAATTGTTGCTTGGAAATTTTTCCGGCATGATTGTTTGACTGAATGCTTATGTCTGTGATGATATTGTAAATGTAGGGTACATGAATAGACTGTTCATTTTGCTCTTAGACTCTTTACTATTTCACAACTCATAATCTTTATTTATGTAATTTTACTTAAGTTTCTTCTGTCACAGATTAATTGTATATTAAGAGTTAATTTTATTTTGTTAAATAATTTTAAAAGTGTGCAGTTTGTATAAATAATTTTAAACTATTCAGAATACTTGAATTGAAAGAACACTGCTAATGAGATTTATTATTTTTTTAATTTAATTATAATTTAAAATGATAAAGGGTTTGTAATTATTTATTTTTTTACTTATAGTGATGTTTTTCTGTTGCCCATTTTTTTAAAAACAATTTCTGTCTAAATGTTGAAGTTATGAATTTATTATAATATTAAAATATATTTGACAGTGTGCTTAGCACAGAAAGTGATTTTATTAACTTCAAAATCAAGTGACTTCACGATTAGAAAAAAGAAAATCGTCATAAGAAAATATTGTTACTGTTGTCTATTATTGGTCAGGTGAGAGATGACGAGAATGATGTAAATTTTGGAGATAACATACAAAATATAAGCCTATGGAATTGGAAACCAATTTTATTCTTTCTTAATGAGTTTTGTTAATAATGTTTTGTCAGATAGTTGTTGAAAAAATCAAAATTTCACTAAAAATGTAATTAATTGAATCGTCTTGGGAATAAAGAGAACCCAAATCTCCATGGTAAGTGGAGTCCCCTGCACTTTTGCAGTTTCCTTACAGAATTGTTTCTGTATAATATTGTCAATTTTACTTTATTCAATAACAACTTTGTTATAGTAGGCAAATATGGATTGTGTAATCCACTCAATTTTATAAAAACTTTGTTGTTAACCATTCATTATTTGAATTGATTTGATGAAAGATGGCAATTTTGTGAATGTTTTTTTAAAGGCCATATTTGTGGCATATAAACTCTTATCATATCTGGCATAGCCATTGGATCTCTCCTTTTTAATGGTCCATTTATAAATCTCTTACATGGGAACAAAATTTTCCAAGGGAACAAAACACAATTAGTGACTTTTTTTTACTACAAAATGACTAAATGTTTAAATGCCAAACTAGTTTGCAAAATTTAATTTCATTAATTATTTCTAAATTACTCTTGTTTCTCTAAATTATTATGTCCAAGCTTAGGAGGCCTCATGATTTCAAACTGGCATTCATAAAATGAAACTGCTTTTATGAACTTGTATAAATATTTGAAGAACAGTAGCTGTAACATCTGGCATAAAATAAAACATTCGATAAGAACCACCAATAGGTAATTTGAGAAATTTTGTTTCATTCTCTTGTTAGTAAAGACATCTCTTGTTTATTTCTTTGACAAAAAGCTGCTGAATATATTTATTGTTTTTTGTTATTATTTAATGAATATATATTTTGAAAATACTGCGTACTTGCACATCACTGTCATCAGTGCTTGTGAAATTACAAGAATGCAAAAAGTGTTGTATAAGCTTTAGAATATTATATTTCATTTACACTTGGGTTTAATTATTTCACAGATCGATTAGTATATGAAGAACCTTGAGCTCGTTAACTGTATTAAAAAATAAACACGAAGATGAATCAATGAATTGTCTACACATGTACCCAATGATTTTTTGCTTTAAACCGTTGTTACATATTGTTAGTGAAAACAGTTCATCAGCTTGTCATACATGATAATATTAACTGATGCTCAATAAGTATTCTCTCAACAGTGAAAGCTTTACATGCCTGTATATGAAATGGATTATGTTTTGAGCTTTAGAATCAAACAAATAGTTAAACAAATTAATTATTGAGTTTTAAGGTAATGTTTTTTCATCCTGTTTATGGTTATGAAAGTTCAAAATTTGTAGGTGCGAATCTGCAAGTAATGACGCTTTGCTTAGCATGATAGTTCTTTTGTACTTTTTGTATAATAAAATGCAAAAGGTTTATTTATCTTAGTCTGTGAAACAGAATATTTTATGAAACTTAAGTTTATTTTTAAAAATCATTAATAGTACAATTGACTTGTGTACAAAGGAACATAGTTTCTTGATTGTATTTTAACCTGACTTTTAAAAGTGTTGACAAAATGATGAAATGTTTAGAGGAACTTGACTGCAATGAATTTGGAGTTCTAAAAAGTGTTTCTTCTGACTGATGTCTAATTTATAAGGGACTTTTATTCTTCAGGGAATGTGCTATTGCCTCCAAGATCATTTCTTCTAGCTTGAAAATATTACAAATTTGTAAAATTACGATATAAATGAAACTCTTACTATTTGCTTATTTTTTATAATACTTTTTTCTTTCTTTTAAAGAAAGGTGTCAAATGAGAAAGTGACATAGATGTTTAAGTTAATGGTTTTTAATAATTGTTGTCTTTTCAGTGTTGATCTGTGTTGTTAAGTTGTCAATATTGTCTATAATTGTTGAATAACAAATTTTTACTAGTAGTGGTGATACCATAATCATTTATACAATTTTCACTATACTCATTGTATCATCGATATCAATTATTGCAATACTGTTCAATTTTTGGTTTCCAGTGGTCCATGTGAAACTTCAGGGAACTCAGTAAAATTTTGATTATCCTTTACAAATATTGCAAATCATGAGTACAACTACTTTTCTATTGGTCCTAACATATAATAGTGTGTGTATTTACCTACAAATCTTTTTTTTTCTTATTACATTGGCAATTGCACTTCAGCAATAATTCTTACAATTGTATATTAAGTTGATTTTACTGCCTTAGCTAGAAATATACTCATACTGGATAGAAAATTGGTTACGAACATAAGAGACATAATGTTAGATACAAAGTGTAATCTTTTTTATGAAATCACTTTTAACTGTATGCAATGGTTATTTGAGAAGATTTTCCAATTCATTAGGTAATATTATACAAGATAGGAATTTGCTTAGGATAATTTTATTGCTTGATGAAAAACCAAGCAGTTTTGTACAGGATAATAAATTACTTGCTGCAGTTTTCACCCTGTACTTAATATTCTAGTTATTGCTCATTGCCAGAGCTTGGTGAACATCAGTTAGTCCCAATTTTTATCAGAAACTATGCATAGTTCTCTTTTTCATCCTGTCTGTTTTTTGTGATTTGCTCTTCACATCTCAGAAATTCTTCCAATCTTTCACCCTTTCTGTGTTATATATAATTATACGTAATGAAAGTCCTTTTGATACTATTGAAAGCATAACATAATACTGTATAATATCATCTGATTCTTTATTATTGTAGGCTTTGACCAAGTTTTGCTAGATTTAGACTGTTTCCTAATGTACTGTTAAAATTTCTCCTGTCTGGCATGCCATGTGTGGATGGGTACTGAGCTCCTTTTTTTTGTCACAAATTGCTATTTCATTCAGTCTTTTTCAATATTTCATGTGTAGATGATTAATAGTCAGAGCAGTCTTTAGCTTTGATCTTTTTACGAAATATTCTCATTAGGTCAGAAAAAAATTATTAATCAGTTAATCATTACTGATAATTACCATATCTTTCAACATGTTATATTTAAAAAAATAGTTAATTTACTTAACTGTTGAAATGACTAGTTGACATATAAATGCTTTGAAATTGTGTATTGATTTAAACAATATTTTTGTGGTGTGTTTGCAAAGATGAGCACCTAATTATGAATGGATAATGAAAATTATTGTAATGTCATAGGATGTTAAATTTTTGCTTTTGATCTTTTCCCCCTTAAGCATAACTTTAACTTGAATTTCAAATCTTCATAAAATATATTTCAAAAGCGATAATACTTTTGAGGGTTAAACAGAAGTATTACAAGCAAACAAGTGGTATTGTTGAATGTATGACTAGAAATTGAGAGATGCCAATTGCTAAAGATGTTAGTTGTAACGAAACCGCTGTCTAGAATAGGAAACTTAAGATATATCATATATAATTTTTAATTACTATACAGCAACAAAGAAGAGAAATAATTATAAATCTGGATCTGCAATGAATTGTTTCCATAATTTGGAAATGTTAATTAGGTGATTATGCAACCCAAAAATCCACATGTCCGCGATGTTCATAACTTCATATTAATTCATAAATTCTTTGGTTTTAAATTATGAAATGTTGTTTTGCAAAATTGAAAGCAATTTATAAATTGGGAAAAAATTAATAAAATTTATATATCCACTCAAGAATGTTGTGCTCATGTGCCAAATATTTTCTAGAGTCAATAGCTGCCTGAATGTGGAGCCATTAGTTGTTATCTATAACTTATATGTTAATTTTTGCAAAAAGAAATTTAAAGTTTAGTTGATCTCATGTTTTTATTCAGAATATTTGTGAAGAGTTTTTTTTTTTTTTTTTTTACACATATTAATTTCGTGTTTATGCATTGGAGATAATTATCTGTAAATTGTGACAAGTGTTATTGTGAATAACGTTGTTATTAGAGTTCATGTTCATATTGAACTGGATACACAGCACTCTATTCAGTGAACAACAAGCAACATATGGTCTGAAGCTTATTTTGAACAGGGAACTGGCAGAATTTTAGGGTCAGACTGACCATCTGCAAGTTAGACAAATGGCAGAATTAGGTACCAAGTACAAGAGTGCTAGCTGCCATCTATTTATCTAGTCCATTTCATCTGTTTCATTTAGAATTCCTTTTGATTAAGTTGAAAGAACTTGCAAAAGCTGAGCAAGTTATTGGATCTGTAGGGATTGTATAATTGATGGTGTTGAGTCACATCTTGGTCTGATATTGAGGATTAATTTCGTTCTAAAATGCACTTTCATTTCTATATGTATTTTATTTTCAAGTGATTTTCTATTAGTAGATCATCTTAATTTACATTGATAGACTACCCTAATGTTTCTTCCTTTATTGCAATTCAAATTTTTTACCTTTTATTTTTGTTTCTTTTTTCCTTAGACATTTTTTTGTTATTACTAGTGTACAAGTCTGAAATATGGAAGGAGCTCAGTTCCAATTTTGACATGTGCGTGCAAGACAGATCTGATCGTGTATTTTCACTGTCTTTTCCTGTCGTGTTACTTATATGGATAAGTTCAGTCTTGGAAAAGAGGATTGCATCACTTAACATAATATATTTATGGAGTCAAAGCAATTCAGTATCATTTTATTGAATTCTCTTTTAGTGCTAATGTATGGTTCAAAATGCTGTTTTAACGATTTATTGCAAGTATTATGAGATCTGTGTCAAATTTTTGATTGATTTTCTGAATGTTGAATTACAATATTTAGATTGAGATTTTTAAATACATTAAAATGTATTTTCACCTTCAATAATTTTTCATACCAGATTAATTTTATCTTTTAATTAAGAAAGTGGATGTTATAAACTCTGAGAAGAATAATAAAAATTGACAAAATGTTTAATCTAAACATTCTGTCAATCTTAGAACTTCATCTTATCCAAAGGTTTATTGAAGTTCATTCAATGAGAAATAATACTGAAAGAAATTGTTGACATTTTCTAAAATGTGTTAATACGAATGTTGAATGTAATTTTAACAGTACCCCTAACATGGAATTCGTTGTTAAGGAATGTGTAAAGGTCGTAATAATCCTCTGTTCCAAGCCTGAATATATCACACATAATTGTGTGATGAAATTTTAAAACAAAGCAATTGAAAGACTGCAAACTCTCATTGCCTTCTGATGTTACTCTATCTTTCTTAATGTGTCTGTGTAAGCTTTCTGCACTCTCTTCTTTCCTCCCTACCTTTCATTTCCTCTCTTCTCCTCTCTTTTTCTCCCTTCTAATCTCCTGTATTTCCTTCTGATAGGGAGAACCTGACATGTGTAGGATGCATTATATATACCGTATATATTCACCGTTGCAAATGAATGTTAGTGTCATTAACATATTTACATTGTGACAAAAGTATTGTTTCTGTGAATTATCAGGTGCAAGTAAATGCACTGTGACCTGAAAAAGTAACTAATTTTTTGAAACTATTGATAGGGATATTCTTGCCTTACAGCAGCACTGATTGGCTAGGGAAATACAATGATAACTTCTACAACAGTACAATAGTTGTTTTTGAAATAGGTATATTGTCATTAGCATATCATACAGGAAGTTTGTGTGTTATTTCTCCGTTACATGGAAGGATTTTGTATGCATTGTAATAATGGGACATGTTTTGAAAAGAATCTATCGTTGCAAAGATGCATGTTTATGCATTCTTAACATTCCATCTTATTTTTACATATTAAACTGAAACGCGATAGGTGAACTCTCTATGAGCTGCTGCTGAAGTTATATAAGCTTTGATTTAAAGTCCTTAAAGAGCCATATCTTCAAAATTTAATTTTTTGGTTAGTTTTCCTGTTGTCTGCAATTGGTAATTCAAAAGACACTCGTGAACCTCCATATATTGATGTTTCAATTAATGAAATTGAAATATAATGAGCGTGTTTTTGTAATCGTTCATTTTCTTTTTAAGTAAAATGTAAATGAGTATTTATGATGGGAAACATTTGTGTAAAGCATTACTTCAATGTTCTTTCTTTTGTAAATTGTTCAGTGACCAAGTACAATTTTCCTCTCCATTGTCATCCCTGTTAAAAATTTCATATTTTTCATCAAATTGTATCTCTTCTCAGTTTCATCCCACCAGTCCTTTAAAACTTATTACTTGATTACAATGAATTTTTACTTTTTGTAAAATCTTTGAATTGAGAGATTTAAAGAATTTGAGACAAAACAAAATAATAGTTTAGGTCATCTCTAGAACTTCGACTTACGAAAATAATACTTTTTTACCAAGTTGGTACCAAAAGTAATCAAATAAATAACTTCCACAAAGTTGATAAAGGTTGTTGTGGATTTGCAAACACGTTTGAACTTTACATCTTCTCTTGTTCAGTAACTTGCAGAAGAAGTAATCTTTTCTCCATTGTTTAGTAAGTCTGTTATCTTACTGATTTATACATCTCAACCAGTTAATAAAACTTATATTCCCTTTAACTTTTAAAAAATTTTAAAAAGCTTATTAAAAGTATATTTTAATTTATAAAATCTTATGCAAGGGAGTTCAACTGAATATGAATGTAAATAATTCTCAGAAGATATGGTCTATATAAGGCAACTAACAGAAATGAATATGTTGTGTAACGTTTTACTGAATCTTGTAATCTTAAGCATTGTGGAATCTTAAGCAATCTTAAGATATGAACATAGTATTTGTTGAGATACCGTTGCCAAGAATCCAATGTCTTTATGCAGCATGAAACGTGCAATTCTATTTTGTAGAGAACCATATAGGACTTGATATCTATCATAAGTGAGTTCATGGAGGAAAGTTGGTGCAAGGTTCTTTGTTGATGTGGCTGTTTCAAAACTACAAAAATACAACTTAATGTCAAGTTTTTTGTACTTTATTTCAGAGCAGTCTATTAACTTATAGCCTGATGCAACATGTGTTGCTTGGGGCTGGTCTCAGGAATTTTAATTTTTGTGTACAGTTAAAAAGTGCAATTGTGTTTAATGGTTTTAATTGAATGAGATCTTTTGCGAATAAGTGGAAAGTAAATTTTTATGATCTTATATGTGATCTTGATTGATGATACTGAAACACTAATGAAGTAATGTTTCCACCATACCTACTTAAATTATAGCAACATTGTTTGCTTATGGTTTTATCTTCGAAAGCAATACATTGTGTGTTTCATAGATGGTACTCAAGCATGAGAAGTTATACAAATAACCATGTTGGCGTATAATATCACTGTGTTTTGTAGCTGGAGGAGGAACAAGTTATGTATAGTAATGAAAAGTAGTTTTTTTTTTTATTTTTACGAAAGGAAATATAGAATTTTTGTTTTTCTTTTTATTAACTACTAATTGGAGTACGGTACGATGGAATTGTCTTCCGTTTTATTAGCAAAGTTGCTATAACATTAGTCTTTCTGCTTACATGCCAGTGAATACTCCCACAACCTTTGTTGCCATTATGACATTATTTGAATGTTTGAAACAATTTTCTGCAATTGAACTGTTTGTATTTGCTACAACTGGACCTTGAAAGGGAAATTTCTGTCAATTTTAACTGATGACTTTTGAGCACAAATTAAATATAGGAGGAAGCAATTTCACAATTTCAAACCTGTAAGTGTTAATACTGTATTTCTGGAAAGACTTTGTGGTCTTAAAATATCAATTTAAAACTTTGTATTAGAAAAATTTCATACTTAAGATTGGAATATTAAAGTAACAATTATTGGTGTTTAATTTGCATTCCAAGTTATATGGGCACAATTTTGTGAACACTACTCTGTGCTTCAAATCAGCTGACTGATGTGCTTTGGTATTAATTGTGTCTGGCAATGTTCTTGCTATATAGAACATACTAACCAAATAGACATCTTGCCCTCCAAAACATTTGCAGTGTCAGTCCTGTTTTTTGTTCTTAACTGTCAAGTTCGGTGATGTTCCATGATAAATATGAAGAGTACACAGAGATTGAAGTAGGTCATTAAAGGATTAAATATAGGACTTGTGATTTAGGCTTGTGATTTGTGATGTAATGATGTTAATAGAAGAATCTATCAACATCATTCTATCAAATTTGGGGATTTTGCATTGATATAATGAAATCCAAAAAGAATTACAGCAAGACTGACTACTCTGCTCGGGCACCAGATTTGATGTCACATTTGTATATTTTAGTATAGTGTGATTATTCACATTACAGTAGATTTTTCATATTGATAAGTTTATTGTGTTTTTAATGACCTCAATCAGTGTTCTTGTGTATTCTTCAAATTTTCTTCAATAACGTGGCCTACTCTTGTAACAAGTGTGAAACTTATTTTTTCTGTTGTATATAATGTCAATTGTGCAAATGTGATACTACTATGACTATTAGAATTGCTACATTATTACAATTACTGTTACAATTTCAGCAATGTCCTGTATTGATAACTTGCCTTAAAATAATGTACTTGTGGCAAGAACTGTACAAAGTAGCTACATACCAGGAACTCAAACTTCTTTTGATATCATACTTTGCAGGGTATGTAATATATCCTGTATTACTACCCTGCTTATTGTGTGTGAAAGTTTGTCTTTGTCAGTCTGGTTTGTGACTTTATGGCTTGTTTTAAGCCTTTGTCTTTGTGTTTTTTATTTGCTTATGTGCCACATGTGCATATCGTTTATAATCAGTATTTTTTATATATCATGTACACTGTTTTATCACAACGTACATTTACCTTATTTATTCTTCTGAAAGCAACTTCTTTTGAGGTACAGTACTTTTCTCAACTTTTTTAGAATAATATATTACGATTATTTTCATAACTTTTCAATAGTGTTATATTCATGAGTACATAAATGTTGCATGAGAAAATTGTCAGGTTCTTCTTAAAAATTGGTTGTGTTGTCCTGTCGTGTCCTCTGAAAATTCATTTTAAAATTTGACTTTACTTCATGTTCTATCTGTATTCATATTATGTGTGTTAAGATCTCTTGTAGGTCTCCTGCATTCTTTTATTGTATCATGCAATCCTTTCTTGTATATCTTTATCAATTTTAAGAGTGTGTCTTCCTATTTTCTTCCTGATTTCTCTGACATGTCCTTTTCAACTTCCATATTCTCAACTCATATAAATTTTGCCTTTTTGAAGTGTCACCCTTCAAGTCAAACAGTGAAGATAATAACCATTTCCCTAAGAGAAAAATAAATGAGTTAATTCTTTCTTCATTATGTAAATGGACTTTTGGGGAGAGAGACCACTTTATGGCGAGATACTGTATTATGAGATTTTAATTTTTTTTAAAAAAAAGAAGGAATAACTGTATTGCATTTAATAAAAATTGCGAAATTGCTTGTAGTTCTTCTCATTTATTAACAATGAAATAGATACTTTGTTTTTCAATATATTCATGTTTATGGGTACAATACATAAGTGCATTTGAAAATACGTAATTATAACAGAACACCATGACTTTTTGTGTCAGTTCCATTACATTCTTATCAAAAGAAGTGGGAAAGGCAGTGATTTAGTGTTGGTAGAAGGCTTTGAAAGGTGACACTCAGAAATTTCCATCACTTTCTCCATACAACTTCACAACCAGTACTGTCTTATTCTGCCTCCAGATTTCATATCTCTTAGCATGTGATGATAAAATTTATTATATAACATTGTATGAATTCCTTATCTTATACAATTTTTCTATACTAAACAAACAATATATGATATAAAATTTTTATATAAGATGTTTTTTGGATTGCATCAAGAACAGAAAAATAATTAATCATTATAAATAATGTAATGATTACTGTGCAGTGCTTTTATTCTGAAAGAAGGCAGCAATCGTGATCAAACATGTTTTAAATAATACTCTATTAGATTCATATATCCATCAGGAGTTCTCTAAAATGCATTTATAAAAATGTGTACATACTTAAAAATGCAGTGTGTGTGTGAAATTTATATCCATGTAATGAATATAAAGGACTTAAAAGTTTATGCTGTGTGCTTTAGAAGTTTGTAGAAAACTATTTGCATGTTCTAAAATGTGGAGTTTTAATGGATTGTTTTCAATCAACGTTCTTACTTTAGAATTTTTTCCAAATTCAATTGTTGGAATGCATTTTAGTGTTTCCTGCCAGAAAAAAAGCACTGACAACTAATTTTTATTTTGCAACAAAGAATACAACTATCTTATTACTGTGAGTCTGTGCACTTATGAAGAAAAATTTAAAACTTGTTACTCAGAAGAAATAAGATTCATGACAAAAAATATATATAAACATAAAGTACATATACACAAAATGATTAAATACAAAATTGTTAATGCAGTATTCTTGCTTAGAAATAAATATTATGTAAAAGTTTGTTGCTCTTTTTTCATTTTTTCTTCCTGGGTAAGTATGATTATGTTTATAATGAGACTAGAATGTGGCAGATGAGTCTGAAAATGTCAGCTTGTAATAAATTATGTGGTGGTTGTGCACTGACAAACTACAGACATCTTAAGGATTATGAATGCTCTAGGAAAAAGGGACATTGATATTATGTAATAATTCTCTTAAAAAATTGATCACTTTATATATCCATTATGCTGAATAACTAATGAGTTCTTCAGTATCATGACTGAATAATTTAATGTCGAAAACCTGGCCTTCTTTAACTATTAGGTTTGTTAAGCTATTTAATCTTGCTAGTGAAACTGTCTCCAATTTATATATGAAATTTTAGTCAGACAAACTTTGTCTCAATTGGTGCCATTTACATCAGCTAAGACAAGCCAAAAAAGATGCACATTTAATTGAAAATAATTATTTTGAAATTTACATATTTAAACAATTCTAAATGGATACTATTATGGGAAGTCAGTAAACTATTTTTACACCATAAACCATTGCATTTCAAATATGTACAATTACTTCAAATATTTCCAAAAAGATCTTGCTCTTAGTTGTACATTGAAGAATACATCGCAAAAAAGTAAAATGATAAAATATTGCTATAATCAAAATAAATAAGCTGCTTAATTATTTAATACAACTGAAACAATTAACTAAAATACTTCTTTTTGAAATAAATAAACCAAATTATCTTTTATTACATATCAATATGGAGTGACACACCATCACATCCCAAGTAAAATGTTTTCTGCTGCTTAATTGTTTCTATACAATTGGAGACCACTGAGCATCAAAAGAAAAGTAACATTAATTTTAGCAATGATATTTAATGTATTATTGACCATTTGGATTGTATAATTCTAAAGAACCTGTAACGTAAACATGTATTATACTGCAGCTTCTGGGTCAACGAGCCCCATCTTGATCAGTTTTTTATCCCGTTTCCTGGGTCCTTTGATCAAATGCAGAGATGGTCCCTTGTTTTGCTTCCGGATATAAATGACA